ATTGACATTTCTGTATCACAATTTGTTTGAGGAATTTTTATTCGAATGTGTTCCTGATGATGGGTTGAGAAGTGCCCGGTAGTTAAGCTCATGACAAGGAAGGGACTTTACTACAATGAACATGGCTGTAATTCATAGATTTGGCCACTAGTTGGTCAAATCTGTAAATCGCAAAGCCAAAACGGGACCATTAGAGGTGTTTGAAATCAATGCAGATTTTACTCAAATGGAAGTATAATTTCTTATATTTGGAACTGTAATATAAATTTTGTGACACATAACTTTAATTGAAATGATTTGTGGAGTTAAATGTTAGAGTTTTGTTAGATTAAGATTTGAATGCAAGTACAAATGCAATGAGGATGATTCCAGTCAATTATATTCCTGTTATGTGTAAAAACTATTCGACAATTAGTGTTAAAAATATTAAATCCAGAGTAATTGTGGATTCTTGAATTTGAGTTGTTTGTTTTGCTCCGATGAAGCCAGATTATGGGCCTGAAATTCAAAAGCGGCTTGGAGCCCAACGTTACAGCCCACCTAGTGGTGCAAGGTCAAATGGACTCACTGTTAGTTATACGTGTAAAGGGCTAAGTAGGTATAGGCTTAACACTTGAGCCCATTTCGTTGTTATCTTATTCACCAATAGAGTAATACCTTGTTGCCCAAATGTCCAAATAATTTCGTTTAAACAATGAAGAGGTACATAGTTGCATAATGCAAATGCCTTAGTGGATTTAAACAATTTAGTCAGAATATCCCCGTTTCTTACATATTCAATTATCAGGTTGTAGCAAAGACCATGTTTAATCCATTCATTTCAAAACAAATTAGTTGTAGGCTCCTTGTTGTAATGACCCGACCGGTCATTTGGCTTTCTAGATCTCCGTTACCCTAAATAAGACTTCACGTATGTGCTTTTACTGTTTTATGACTTGTGGGGATGGTTAGTTCGAGTTTGGAAGGGTTCGAGGTGAAATCGGAACACCTAGTTCCTTAATATTGGTTTAAAAGGGTTACATTTGACTTGGGTTAACATTTATAGTAAACGACACCGAAACCAGCATTTGAAGGTCCCAATAGGTTTGCATGATGATTCTGGACTTGGACGTGTGTTCGGATCGGGTTTTGGATAACCCGGGAGCGTTTTTGGCGACTAAAGTTGGAAGTTGACTCATTAAAGGTTTTAAAGTTCTTTAAATTTGGTTTGAAGTAGCTTTTGGTGTTATCGATGTCCATTTGGAATTACGAGCCTAGTAATATCTCCGTATTGTGATTTAAGACTTGCACACAAAATTTGGTGTCATTCCGAATAGTTTAAGTATGATTCGGCGCGTTCGAAGTGAGTTGGGAGAACGTGAAGTTCATAAGTTGATTCGGCTTGGTTTGGAGTGTGATTCATAATTTTGATGTTGTTTTACATGTTTCGAGACTTCGAGTGAGTCCGTCTTATGTTTATGAACTTATTGGTATGTTTGGACGAGGCCTCGGGGGCCTCGGGTGCTACTCGGGCGATGCACGGATCGAGTTTAGGCTTGAAAGAGCTGCTGGTGCACCAGATCTAGTGTGCCCGCACCTGCGAGCTTTTTGGCCGCAGGTGAGAGCTCGCAGGAGCGAGTGTGTGGCCACAGAAGCAGTTTGGGACGAGTTAGTTGTGGCCTGCAGAAGCGGCCTCGCTTCTGCGAGGGAAGGGCCGCAGGTGCGAAGAGGGACGACCGGGCCTGGGTCACATATGCGAGAGGCGAGCCGCAGAAGCGGGCCCGTAGGTGCGGTGTCCTTTCCGCAGGTGCGCCCAGTGCTGGGCTTGGAGTGTTCCGCATAAGCAGACCTTTGTCCGCAGTAGCGGAAACTGCTAGGAGGCAGTGAGGTCCATTTATTACGGGACTTAGGCCATTTTGGTTCATTCATTACACTTCTTGGGCGATATTTGGAGCTTCTTAGAGAGGGATTTCCACCTAGCTATTGAAGGTAAGTAATTCCTACCCAATGTAAGTTAAATACATAGATTATAGGTAGATTGTAACATATAAGATTGTGAAAATTATGGGTTTAGATGAAAATGCTAGGGTTTTGATAAAAAAAAATGAGATTTAACCACAAAAATAGTTATGGAATTGGGTGAAAATGATATATTTGAGTTTGTGAGGTTATGGGTAACAATTATCTTTCGGAATTTGGGCACGTGGGCCTGGGGTGAACTTTAGGAATCTTCCAATTTGGGTTGGGTAATTACTCTAATAGTTAAATTATGAATTTTTGAACATGTATTGATTAATTTATATAACATTTGACTAGTTTCGGATTATTTGGCACCGAGTTGTAGATTTAAAGCATATTTGTGGATCGGAAGTGAGCTTGAGAACAAGGTAAGTCTCTTTCCTAACCTTGTAAGAGGGAACTCATTCCCTTAGGTGTATTGTTATTGCGAATTACTTGTATGGGAAACTACGTACGTACTAGGTGACGAGAGTCCGTGCGTAGCTATATTCAATGATGTAATAACTCCTTTGAGAGGGTGCTACTTACGAAACAAATCTAATTGACTACTTACAACATTAAGAAGATATTACTTAAAAAATTATTCAGAATAATTTTGTAGCGGAAATAGGCCCATGCGATGAGATCCAAAGTGCAATATTTTTATTTTTGAAATACTCTTCATAATTTTTATTTTTTATTTTTTTAAAATAAATTACAATGTTAAAATTTCAACATAAGGTGATATAACCCTTCTTGAATAATCAACATGTTAAAGCAACTTCCTAACAAAATTATACTTTCATTTGACATCACCGCAAGTTTGTATTGTACATAAATTTCAAAGTATCGGGTATAAAAAGAAAAACTAGTTTTCTCCTTTGTACATATTTACAAGACAAAGTATAAATTCAGAATATTACAATACTTGAGTTATTAACACACCCTAAAACAGCAAAATAAGTTACCAAATTCAAGTTACAAGATTTTTGGTCTTAAGATCCAACAAGCCTTCAAATAACATACATAAGTGTGACATATATATCATGTACAAGTCCCAAAACTATACAAAACCATGGTGCATATGCAAATGTGATCTTTATAAGTTCTCCCCAAAAGACTACTTCATAAGGCCGTCTTCAAATTTTATCCTGTACATTACCTACGATAGAAAATAACTATCGATAAGCATAAAGCTTAGTGGCGTATAAACTTTGGGCTTTGAGCCATTAACTTCTCCAATTCCCATTTTCAGTCATAGGTAGATCAAATAAAATATAATTTAAAACAAGTGAACAAATATATCAAAAGTATCAAATATCAACCCTTGAAGTGTTTCCAAATATCAATAATAATGTTCAAGATTCAAGAGTTGAGAAAGCGTAGACTATGAATCCAAGAAAGCTTGTCAAATATCCATTTTTCGCCCAATGTGTGTGTCATGACATCACACTAAGCAAAATCAGATATCAAGATGGACCGAAACCTCAAATCAAGTAGGGTCAAAATCCAATAGTCAAGAGAATCAAGAACCATATTAAAAATGGCTTTCAAGTTCGTACTTAACACGGACAAGTTTCATAATTTAAGCCGAACTACAAATTCAAAGTGAAGATGGCAAAAGATCCAAATCAAGAGGCATGCCAAGATGAATGACAAAGTCACTGCCAGAAGAAGGACAAAGTCCCAACAAGAATACAAAATGATCAAACAATCTGTACGAGTGGACGATTTAGCAAATATCTAGCAATACTTGATATAACACGAATACGATACTATTAATTAAAGACAAGAAAAATAAAATATCAGGTTATTTCAAAATATTTCAGCAAGTAAAAAGAGTACAAAGTTTATACAAAAACCTTGATGTTTTACCATAAAATAATTCATTTCAATTCTATTGTATTTATGTAGGAGCCATTGTTTTTGCTTTGTTTGCCGGATTGGTACGCTTTCTTGGAAGGGCCTCTTTCCATCCATAGAATCTCTTCCTTATGCTAGCACTTTCAGCTATCTTTCTTAACCTGCTTTAATTCATATTATTATTATAATTCACATTATTATATTAGGTAATAATCGGGCCGCTTGACCATACGGATCGTCTANGTGTTGTGACTCAGATTTGAAGATGAAAAAGGACAAACTAGACTGTGTGGTCTTCTTTACAGTTATAGATATGTGTCTTAGAGTTTCAGAACGTCTTGAATCACCCCCATATAAATTTTGTACAAAACGTTATGCTAAACTTACTAACAGTAGTACAGGAAGGGTTTGTAAAACAAAACATCTGGGCAGCACCTGTCTTGTACTTCATCACCTACTTTTGGTTAAATAAAAGACAAACCAGGTTTTGGTTCCTTCATAAGAGTTATAGATCTATGAAATAGCTTTCCAGAAAGTCTCGGATCACTTAAAATGATCTCTATATAAAAATATATGAAGAAAACACTAATAGTTGTCTAGTGTAAAAATGGGTTTAGTAAGTTACCACAAAAGAGAGGAGAAACTTGAGCTTCACCAAGAACGAATTTTGCTGGTTGGTTTAGTGAAAATTTATAATGGTTTTCATGGAGTTTTCAGGTGATAAGAAGGATATAGGGTAGGGGTTTTCTTTTTTCATTGAAAGAATGAAAATGGGGAGTTTATGAAAGACTAAGTCAATCAAAGTTATCTTTAAGAATTTTGGATAAATATGAAATAAAAATGGCTGCCCAACTACTAAGTATACTTAGATAAATACAAAAGGGTGGCAGTCCAAAAACTTAATTATAATGTATTTAACAACAATTGATTAAAATAATATTAAGTGTTACACATAGCAACACCATGGAACCTCTTTGTCAATATTAACACAATCTAGAGTAAGGAATTTTCATGTATTGTAAATTTCACGTTTAGGAAGTGCGAAATAAAAATATCTCCTCATTATAAAGATTCTCAATCTAAATGCAAATATTAGTAAAAATTTGGGGTGTTACAACTCTCTCCCCCTTAAATAAATTTCGTCCCGAAATTTTCCTGTACTAGTCCCTAAACAAATGTGGATATTGAACTCGCATATCCTCTTTTTGCTCCCAGGTAGCTTCTTCACCAAAATGAGTTTTCCAAAGAACTTTTACTAAGGGGATGCTCTTGTTTCTAAGCTCCTTTAACTCACGCGCTAAGATTTGGATTGGTTCTTCTCCATATGTCAAATCAGGATTGACTTCAATAGATTCAATAGGAAGAACATGAGATGGATCTGAGCGGTATCTTCTAAGCATAGAAACATGGAAGACGTTGTGGATCTTGTCTAACTCTGGTGGAAGAGCTAGTTTATAAGCAACTAGGTCAACTCTCTCAAGCATCTCATAAGGTCCAATAAATCGTAGACTAAGTTTACCTTTTTTGCCAAATCTCATAATCTTCTTCCATGGAGAAACCTTTAAAAATACCTTATCACCCGCTTTATACTCAATTTCACGCCTCTTAAGATCAGCATAAGACTTTTGTCTATCTGAGGCAATTTTTAAGCGATCCTTGATGATTTTTACCTTATCTTCAGTTTATTGAACAATCTCAGGACCCACCAATTTTCTTTCACCAACCTCGTTCTAACAAAGAGGCATTCTGCATATTCTCCCATACAAAGCTTCATACGGAGGCATGCCTATACTTGATTGGTAGCTATTATTGTAAGAAAATTCTATCAGGGCTAAGTGTTTGTCCCAACTACCCTCAAACTCAATAATGCATGCTCGAAGCATATCCTCCAAGATTTGTATTACCCTCTCAGACTGGCCGTATGTTTGTGGATGGAAAGCGGTACTAAATTTCAACCTAGAACCCAAAGCTTCTTGCAAGCTAGACCAAAATCTGGATATAAACCTTGAATCTCTATCAGACACAATAGAAACAGGGATTCCATGTAGCCTCAAAATCTCATTAATGTATAATTCTGCCAAACGTTCCAGTGAGTAGTCCATTCTGATTGCCAATAAATGAGCACTCTTATTTAGTCTATCTACAATGACCTAAATTGCATCATGATTCCTTTGAGTGTGTGAAAGTCTAAAAACAAAGTCCATCGTTATCCTTTCCCATTTCCACTCAGGTATTGACAAGGGTTGCGGTAGACCGGCTGGGATTTGATGTTCAGCTTTTATTTGTTGACATACCAAGCATTTAGAAATGAACTCTGCAATGTCTTTCTTCATACCACTCCACCAGTAGTGCTCCTTGATGGTCCGGTATATTTTAGTACCTCCAAGATGCATTGTATAAGGCGAACTATGTGCTTTAATCAAGATCTGCTTCCTCAATTCATCATCATTAAGAACACAAAACCTATTTTAATAAAATAAGGTATCATCTTTCTTCAATGTAAAATCTGATTCTCTTCCACTCTGGACTTCTTCAACTCGTTTCACAATCTTCTCATAACTTCTGTGCTTTTTAGACCTGTTCAAGTAAGAATGGCTTGACTTGCAAATTAGCAATGATAGAACCATTAGAATTAAATGAAAGACAAACATTTATGGCTCTTAATTAAGAAGCAAGGGTAAAGGACTTAGAATTAAACTTGCAAAGGAATTGCGACTCAACACATCTGCAACAACATTAGCTTTACCAGGATGATAATAAATCGTGCAATCATAATCTTTGATGAGTTCAAGCCATCTATGTTGTCTCAAGTTTAACTGTTTTGTGTAACCAAGTACTTCAAACTCTTGTAATCAGTAAATATGTGACATTTCTCCCCATACAAGTAATGCCTCCAAATTTTTAAGGCAAAATCAATGGCAGCAAGTTCAAGATTGTGAGTAAGGCTGGCAAGTGGACTGGTCCAGGCCCGGGACCGGCCCGGGACCGCGGGCCAAACGGCTAAATGGGCCAGGACCGTTCGGTCCGATTTTAGCGGGCCAGGTCCGGTCTCGTGGGCCGGTCCTATGATTTGGGCCCGTC